CCCCAAAACCCCAAAACCCCAAAACCCCAAAACCCCATTTCACCAGAAAATAATTGAAACTCAGCATAAGGGTTAAGTAAATCTGCATAATGGACTTGGGCTAGTAGATCTGAAACAAGAGGCTGCCATAGCTTAATTGGAGATTACATCTTCCTTGCAGACAAGGAAAACTTCTTGTCCATGAATTTTGATGGTATTACTATAGATATGTTAAAAAGATGATGAGAGGTAGTACCTGGCTTTGATGAGTTCATATGCCCGACTTTGTCCATTCTCGTGGACTCATTCTTATGAAGATAATCGAGAGTTTTAGGAAATACATCTGCTCATTCTAAGTTAATCCATTGGTTTTTAGAAGCTATAGAATGATAATATAATTCAGAGTTACAGACAATACCTTGGAGTGTATCCTCCTTTGGCTGTATCTGAATTCCTCTAGAATGGAAATCAATATCACTCTTCCAGGACTGCAATAGGAAACTGTTTTTATTAAAAGAACTTTCAGCCATGCTGTCCATTGAATTTCTGTGGGTCTCCCTCCAACTTTCTTCCTGAACTGGAGTTTTTATCTCAGAACGAATCACTATTCTCTTTGGCTTTATGCTAGCCACCTTCTTGATTTTGAGTATCTTTTTAATCGAGTTTTGAAGGCCAAGTTTCTTAGTCTTTCTAAGCTTCAGTCCTCTTCCCTTATACGAGCTGTTATACCTTCTTTTAGGTATACCTCTCTTGAGTTGTTTGAGCTAGAGAGTTAGTTGGGTCCAAACCTGGCTGCTAAAAGAGTGCTTCAGACTGATTCCTCCCTTCATGTAGCTTGTTGTAGGATTCGCACTGAATCTGGATTTCAGGAAGTGGATATGCCTTCTCACCTGATCATCAAGGTTCTTCTCATCATCACCTTGCGTATTAAATACTGAAACTGGGATTGAGCCCTCTAATGATGACTAGAAGCATTTACCAAGATAATTTTGAGAAGATTGGGAACGAAATTGTCTTCTCTGAGTTGAGTTAAAATTCTCAGTTTTTCTATAGTTTTACCAAAGATATGTACGCTAAAGACTTTTCAGACTGGATTGGTCCCTCCAAGCTTCTAAACAGTCAGATTATACTTATTTAGTTTTTTTGCATACCTAAGAGTTTTAGCTAACCCTCTTCAAACAATGGTAGTTTTATGAGGAATAAAGTTGTAAAAAGTATAGTTTAGACAGCAAAACTGAAATCAAAATTTTATTTCCAACTAAGTAGAACTTACTGGAAAATGGGAGTTTTGTACCCCTTGTAAATTTGACTTTGCTTGAAGTGATGCCTACTGCAGTAATTGTCCATTCTGAAAATATTTGAAATTAAGATAGGACTCTCGCCTATTTTATCAGACCTATTAAATAATTAGAAGGAAAGAGGTTATACGGATTTTATACTAGAGATGATTCTATCATTTTTTCAACAGAGATATCCAGGATCTTAATTAAGAAAAATTGCAAATTGGGTATTCTTAGATGTCCATATCTTAAAAAATATTTCGATCAATTTCTATGAATATTTACTATAAAGAATGAGATTCAAACTGTGGATGCTCAACTTCAGCATCAATAATTTTGAAAAGTATCTACTTTATTTAAATGGTTTTTATTAAGACATTTTGGCGAATTTATAAAAAACTCATACCAAATTCTTAATTTTATTCCAAAGAGAGTTTCAATAAATCTCAAAGGGTTTAAGATCTTAGCTTTAAAGCTAACAAATTTCTCTTTGCTGCCAGTCCATATATAATTTTTGCTAGAACCCAAAGAGGAGCTAAGGTAAACATCTGAGGTTAATAAAGAAACCACACTTACACTTTCCTACATGGAATCTTTGAGACTCAATTACTAATGAGAAAGATCATAAGGAGATATCTTGGCTTTGCTCATGTGGCAATACACCTGGAAAGTGGCCATAATGGCCATTTACTTACCTTTTTTGATTAATATTTAACCTCTTTAATAGCATATTGTAAAATTTATATCAATATTGTGAACAAAAAAGGGGTTTTGGGGTTTTGGGGTTTTGGGGTTTTGGGG